AAAAAATATGAGGGGGATAAATGATGTCCATAAGTCTATGACCAATGTTTATATAATTGAAGCAAGTGTCATATCATCTTTTGAATAAGAATTCCACACAATCTATTGAAACATCAACAATGCAAGTATTTTTCATCATTTACCAACATCAACCTATGTAATTATTTCTAATCATTTATTAACAACATAAAATTTTTACATCACCAATACAAACAATTATTTATTATCATTTACCAACATTAATGTAAATAATTATTTTCTAACATTTTTAAATATAAAAAAATTTCAACATCAACACAAACAATTATTTTTCAATATAAAAAAATTTTAAAATCATCAACGTAAGCAATTATTTCTCATCACTTACCAAAATCAAAACAAACATTCCCAACATTTTTCAATATAAAAAAATTCAACATCAATGCAAGCAATTATTTCTCATTATCTACCAACATTAATGCAAATAATTATTTCCAAACATTTTTCAATATAAAAGAATCTCAACATCAATTATTTCTTATTATTTACTAACATCAACACAAACAATTATCTCCTAATATTTCCTAATATAATTTTTTTTAATATCAACACAAACAATTATTTCTCATCATTTACCAGCATAAATGCAAGCAATTATTTCATAAAATTTTTCAAAAAAATATCATCAATGCAAGCAATTATTTCACATCATTTACAAACATCTACACAAATAATTATTTCCCAATATTTTTTAATATAAAAATATTTCAACATCAATGCAAGCAATTATTTCTCATCATTTACCAACATCAATGCAAATAATTATTTCCCAACATGTTCAATATAAAAGAATCTCAACATCAACATAAGAAATTATTTCTATCATTTACCAACATCAACACAAACAATTATTTCTTATTATTTTTAAATATAAAAAATTCCAACATCAATGAGAATAATTATTTCTCAAATTTTTCAATATAAAAAATTTTCAACATCAACACAAGCAATTAATTCTTATTATTTACCAACATCAACACAAGCAATTATTTTTCAATATTACTTCTCAATATTTTTCAACATTAAAAAATTTATCTCATCATTTTATTTAACATCTACAGTGTAATATATTTTAATATATCTGATTTGACTATGGTCTTTCTAACTCGCTACAATAAAATGACAAAAAATAGGTTGGATTATTTTCAATATACTCCCATACAATTTGTTAATAAATAAGCAATAAACTTATTAAATAAAGTTTCCATAAAAATATTCTTAATATAAATAAAATCATTTGTATTATAAATAACATATTATTGTATCTCAACCTCTAAAATCTCTAAAACCTGAATATACATAATAGGTTTAGATTCAATTAGAAGCTTGATTACATCATCATTTAAACCCATGACACGCTCATCTTCATTATCACTACATTTAGAGTAGTCACACCTACATTACTCACAATATGGAGTTTTAATCCTATTTTTATCATAAATTCTCATAACCATATCTTTTAATGTCTTAGATGTACCAACACCAGTTTAATGTGATAATTGTTTAAATGACTGAACAAATGTGTATGTGTATATATATATATATATATATATTTCTTCATGCTCCATATTATATGAGCTACTAAGTTTATGTTGACTACTCATATACAACGTCATCATGTTCATTCCATTTTGGTTATACAATTTTATCATATCTTTAAAATCCATATCACATGTATTTAGAATTGGAAAATACTAATGTTCCCTAATAAAACACCTCCAAGTGATATATATTTCAATATTATTACGATTCATTCAAATTCTTCCATATATAAGTTTTTTGATATCTTCAAATAACATGCTTGTAGTATTATTCAAAGGCACAATACTTTCATTAATATAAGTGATATTATTATTTGTATAAAAAACAACAATGTTACCATACTGACACAACATAAAGAAGTTTGAAGATATATTATGTAAAATTATAATACTTATTTTATAAAAAATAAATTATCTCATAATTCAATTCAAATTCTAATTATTATTACTGTGGCCTTAATAATATCATTGATAAATATTTAATTACATCAATTAAAAACTAAATGATCTCAGTTAAACAAAATACCTAATTATCATAATTTTTACCAAATCCAACGCATATTATAGTTGCTATTATTTCGACCATAATTTTATTAATAACATCAATCGATTAAAAACCTATCTAATTGCATTAATTAAAATAAAATTTATCTAGATTCAAGCAATATTATTAAATATGACAACTAACTCAACAATTCATTTAAACCCTAATTTTTCTAATTCAATCCTAATTTTATAAACAACATTAATTGTATTAAAAGCACATAATTACAACATTCAAAATTAACTCAACATCAACAAAATATATAATTATCAGACACAACACAAATATTTATATATTAAAACTTAAAATTTATCAATTCAATAATAAAACTCATAAAACTAAAAAAAAATACAATTGTTTTACCTTTAGGTGGCGATTCCAGGTGGCGGGGAGGCTGTTAAAGGAAACTTGACCTGTGATTTACAATAAAAAAACATTAGAAAGATTGGTGGAGACACGGGGAAAATAATTCTAGTATTTTGGTGGAAGATTGAAGATTATTTTGAGTGGTTTAAGATTGATATTGTTCTAGGTTTTTTAATTCTTAGGTTTTTTTAGCAGGGTGACAACTGTTGAAAATAAAGGATTATTAAAATATTCATCATGATTGCTATTTTGTATTGTAATTATAATAGAAACCTGATTCCATAATTTTTATTAAAATCACATGTTAGAATTAGAAGAGATCATTCTCGTTTTTCAAAAAAAATTCAAATTTTTTTATTGTTAAAATTTATTTTTTATTTTTTAAATTATTTTAATATACTAATTTTTAAAAAATAAAATAATATTATTTTAATATAAAAATATTTTAAAAAACAACCTGAACGACACTGTTTTCAAACTACATTATTTCTGTGAAACTTTCTCGTGACTCGCGGTTTTAAAAAAATTCTTGTGACTGTACATTTCAAGAACTACTTGTTTTTCATGCTTTTCACTTACCGTACAATGGTCGCTATATCAGTTTTGATATGACTCTACATGGACTGGAAAAGCTGTCAACTCAGTCAATAGTTCTCTTGATAGATTGTTGTCTTGGCGTGATTTACAATTACATGCATGATTTACATTCACATGTTGCAATGATGTTGTCTTGGCGTGTCAAACAGCCCTTTGCAATCAAATCTCACGAAAATACATTGGATCATGAAACTTCTTTCACCTCTCAGGGTCCGTTTGTGTGTGCAGCATGGATACGTCTGCGCTCCATCTGAACTCCCACTTTAACGCTGAATGTGACTGTTCTTGCATAACCCACGACAAGCTGCTACTCTTGTTCTGTGGGAGTACAGTACTATAAACCCTATCTAATTCTTGATGGAAGGCACACTTGCCGATTCAAGCTTTTGGATCCGTGTCCTCTAGTATTATTATTCATACTGTCCTTTTTTTTTAATATTGATGTTTAAATCAGTTTATATATATTTTAACTAAATTTATAAATTTTAAATTAATATAATAATTTTACGAAGCCGCAAACTTATAATTATTAAAAAAATAAACCTCAAACCTAACCAAAGTCTTCTTGAAAGTTATATTCATGTTTCTTAAGCATATCTCTCATGGAACTGAATACAAATAGAGATTCAATTTATGATTGCATCTCTGTCTCTCGGTATACACACTCCTGCATCATGTTGTCTTTCATGGAGGCAATATGGTACTTGGCTACCTAGCTACATTAACATCTGAATGCTTAAAATGGTGGGATAGCTTGTAAGAACCTGAGAGCCTTCGTCTTCCTGTTGAATGGTGCCCAATTATCCAACTCTCCTCCCTGTCACAAAAAGAAAGAATAAAAGAAAACGAGAGAGAAGCAAGAAAAGAGATCCTCTCTTCTTCTATTTTTCAAGGATAGAAAATGTGTCCTTTCCTCTATCCAAAAAATTTGTCCTTTCCTCTAGCTAAAAAAATATTAACTTTACTTTCAGCCCATACTCTAATCCTAAATCTGCTTCCCTGTGTACGCGCAGTGCTTAATTAATAGTTTCGGTGGATCGCCTGCAAAGAATGTCCCTTAAATGCAGCAATAGATTATTGCAAAATAAAAATAAAAATGCAGGAATGATCCATGAGAAGGAAAGGTAACACATAAATTAACACGTGTTATATATATATATATATGAATCAGTGCATGCTGACAGCTTGAAGTTAAACTACTTATGCCAGTACTATGAAGAAAGATTTTAACAAAATATTTTTACAGCAACAGTTGTACCATTCAGCTCAAAAGCTGAATGATTTTACGTAACTCATAAATGTAGTTTTTAAGTAAAATTTATTTGGATTTAAAATTAATTTACATAGATCCACACTATATACTTTGTATTCAAATTTAACAAAAATACATAGTAGGATTCGAATTCCTACTACATATAGTGTTACTTCAATCCAAAAACTTACTGCTAGTCAGTAACTTAGGTCATTCCTCGCAATCTACACTTACATGATTGCCCAAACAAGAAGACAACAAATTATACAGAATACAGATGAATTTACACGGAATTGCTTGCCAAAAGTACTTATTGCAAGGTCAAGGTTGGCTATGAGACGTGGAGATGCAAAGCTGACAATACCATAATCAACTTCGTTTGCTAGCATGTTCTTTCGGTTGATTTGTCTTCACACAGATATAGTGGGGTATAGAAGCTTGTGTAGCCAAGTCACGTACCCCATGTGCAACCAAAGACCAAAAACACAAGCAGTACTTTGGCCATTGAACAAGAACAACTACATTAATGGAGTGCACAATCATAAACCCCTCTCCCTGCAAATGCATGTGTTTGTATGTGGCTTTGGATGCACATAAGGACTTGAGAGAAGTCCACGTTTAGCACATTCCTCAACTACATACCTTATCTTTCATGATAAAAAGTGGCACAAATCCTATCCCTAGCTCTATATATACACATTTGACACACATATACTCTATATCCCACGCAAATGCATTTCTTAGCTTTATCCATCTTCAGTAAATTCACTGGCTCTTTTAAGTTCGATCTATCTTGATGCCAAAGAAAGTGGAGCTTGAAGGAAGAAGCAGAGCTCCAAAAGGGCACTTTGTGGTTTATGTGGGCAATGAAATGAAAAGGTTTGTTGTTCCCACTTCTTACTTGAAGAGTCCTATCTTCCAGGAATTGCTAGATAAAGCTGCAGAGGAATTCGGATTTGATAACCAAAATGGAATAGTTTTGCCTTGTGATGAATCCACTTTCAACAGGCTTACAGCATTCTTGGCCAAGCATCACTCATAGATTAATTATGAGCTTTCCATTTTTGTGTTTGAGTTACATGTTTGTGTTTGCAAATGTAATTAAGAGACAACTTGTCTATGAGAATAACACCTACTTGTATTGATAAGGTAATATGCTTAATCGTGAGAATAATATTCATAATGACTTAAGAGCCATGATAAGTGATATAAGAATTCGTGAGACTTCATTCGTGCTTTAACGTGTCATCAAAATTGAGTTTGAAGATATTAATTAATAAAACGAACCGACTTGATTGCCCTTTTCTTCAAGTCGATAATATTAATCTACAGTATGATATGACATGCGAGCCTTTCAATTAGAGAAAATATTCGGGCTTTCAATTTGCTTTCTCAGTTTGCACTTTGCCGACAGATGCAATACCAACAAACTTCTCAAGGGAATGACCAAACATTGAAGTTGACAAAGAATTATGGTGTGGATGCAGAATCCTGTCTTGCCGAATATATATATACATGTGTGTGTGTGAGTGCGTGTGTGTCGTCCCCTGATTCATCATCAGGAATTCAAGATGCCTCGTCCTTATTACTTAGCTGCCAAACACCACGGTGTGTTAAAACTTTTTATCTTGATAATTATATAATCATAGGTAATAAATGTGCAATTTGGATTGCTCAATGATGATGATGTTTTTAAATTCAAAAGTGATTAGATATAAGTTTTCTAGTGGTTAAATCATGTTTTAATTACAAGTTTTATTATTTATGAAATTTATAGCTTGTTATAGAAAGACCATAACTTGCAAAACAATTTTTTTTTTATGGGATTTAGAGACTCCAAATGATAAAGTCAATAATCTTTAAGTAAAAAGTTACAATAAATAAGATAATGAACATTTATACTTAAGAATAAAAATGTTTCTTTTTAGTTTGATGTGATAAATGAGGAATTAAAAATGTATTTTTATTGAGAAAAGAAAATGACCCTTTTATCTATATGATTATAGGGGTATTTACACTACTAGAACCTTATATAAAAGATATTTTTTCAGGGTTTAGGAGGTTTTTTTTTATCATTATAACACTCATTGAGGATAAATATCTTTGACATTAACATTACTATAGAACGAGATTTCCCTGACATTAATATTAATAGAGGATGAGAGATAAATATCCATAATATTAATATTAATTTGGGGTGAGAGATGAATATCCTTAATATTAATAAGAATAAGCAAATGGAGCCTTATAGTCCAACATGGACCTTATACTGATCCCTAGGCCTTTAGCTCTTTGAGTTTGGTATGTTGCCAAGCCCACAATCAATGGGTATGACAGCGAGTCAGACCCAAGCCCATTTAAGCTTAGCATATAGACGAGTCCAAGGATAACAAATGTACTAGCATGCCAAACTAATACCAATTAAGCTTGGCATATAGCTAAGCTTAAGGTCTCTGGGTTGAGGAGGTCACCAGACCATTGCTCAGTTAGGTTTGATACGCAGCCAAGCCTAAGGATGATAGATTAGGTAATTCGCTAAACCTATGTCTAATCAGGCTTGACACATAGCCAAAACCAAGGGCACTGAGTCTAATAGCTCGCCAGACCCCTACCCACTTGGGCTCAGTATGGTGCTAAGCTCAAAGGTGATGGGTGGGCTTACCAGTCTTGATCGTTATAAGGGATGATGCTACAACATCAAACCCATATAAAAGAATACACATCTTTAGGATTAATTAGGGATCTAAGATAAGAGTAGAAAGGTTTGAGTGCTTTGAGTCTTATATTTTATATTTAAGATCTTGTATATTTAGCTAAACATGTATCTATAAAAAATATATACAAATATATACAATAGGCTATTTCTATTCGGCTCAATCCTTTTAGTAGAAGATTGGGCCGAGTTCAATTTAATTGCATTTCAATTACGAGAATGAACATGAATTAGTGGATTACAACGTATCCATTGCTTAGAATTCAAATTTAATCTCTTTCCATACTTCATAAGCAACAGTTAGTTAAGGGTTTCATTTGCTAGCTTCACGGATAATTTCATTACCCTCATGAGCAAGATCACGTAGAGACCCATTTTCGCTTAGGCTTGGCATGTAGCTAAGACAAAGGGTATTGAGTTTGACAGCTTGCTATACCCTTACCCATTTGGGCTCAACATGGTGTTGAGCCTAAGGTCGTTGGGTCTAGAAGCGAGCTAATTCTATGTCATATGGACTTGGCATTTTTCTAAGCCTAGGGACTTAGGTATGAATGCAAGCCCTTCCCTTCTATCAATAAGTCATCACCCTATTTTTGGACTTTCTAAACAAGGATATAGTTCATATTTAACATGCAAAGATTTGAAGGGTTGTCAGCTTTCAATAAGATATTTTTTTCCTTCCCCCCACGTGATAAACTATCCTAAATAGAATTGTTGGAATTCTTATGGCCAGGCAGTTTGCTTTAATTAAAAAAGACTTTCCAGGGAAGAAAAATTATGGCGTGCATTTAATGTAGTAGTTGATTAGGTTTTTGGAGATTTATAGTGACATCAAGGGCTATTCATCCAATGCTAAGGATGAAAATTTATTTCTTTTATGAACCTTAGTATCATTCTCACTCTCATTTTTTTCTTATACTTTCACTTTTACAATTTATCTACTAAGAATTAATTGTTGAAGTGAATTTGAGTGAGACTTGTTCTTAGTTGTAAAAAGAATCTCTACTATTTTAGGTATTTCCCACCTTAAACTACTTTCTTCTTCCTTCTTATTATTTTTTTAGAAAAAACATGGATTCTAGAAAAGCTAAATCTAATCTTAAAAGTAATGATATTGCTTCATCTAATTGTGAATTTACCTTCCAACTAGAAATTGAGGGAAGTAGAAGAGGATAAGGGTCCATTATACTAGGTCTTAGGACTAGAAGGAGTGTAACTCTAACTTCTACATCTAGAAGGGAAGAAGGTAGTTTCAAACCTCAAAGAAGTCCCTCTCTCATTGTATAGAAGGAACCTCGGGAGGGGGGGAAAGGCTACCTTAAACCTCTTAGGACATTAAGTCGTACACCTTAACTATATAACAAGTAGCCTATATGAATGGATGGAAGCCAAGAGAATATATGGCTAAGCTACCTGCAAAAACTAAGGGAATTAGTTAGTTGACCACCTCTTGAGAGCACTATAAAATCATTGCCTATTTATGCATGTACAAGTTAGGATGTTCATTCCTTTTCAAGGGGTCATAAGGGAAGCCTTTTTCTATTATAGGTTAGGTCTAGACATGTTGCATCCTAAAAAATAAATCATCTTTTCTGCTTTTAATAGATTCCTTAGGCTTATTAGACTCAAGCATATTATGAATTTCTTTATGACATGTTATAATTGGATTGGTGGTGCCTATAGAGGTAATGCCATTTGCTATTTATTCATCTTTGTCAACAGACCCAATAAACCCATGAAGGGGACCTTGTAGGGCAAGCTTTCCCATATTAATAAATGGAGGGGTGGATGATAATAAGGTATAACAGGATGGTACAGAATGGTTAGCCTAAAAGATAGGATGATAGAAATCTAGGGTCATGCCTATTATTGCAAACTACTCCCTTGAGGTGAACAATAAACCTTTTTTAAGCTCGGTTGATGAAGAAATACGTGTTATATTAGCCTAGACCTCAACAGAGTATAAGATTAATAAGATGGCCAAAAGGTGTTATTAGGCCCTGTTGCAAAATATGTATCTTCTATTTTTTTTTCATGCATCTAAATATTCATGTCTAACTTTTTTATGTTCAAGATTAACAACTAAAAGGGAAATAAAGTCTTCAGTAGGGTATGCATTTGGAAGGATATCTTCATCCCTTGAATTATCTTGAGCTAAAACTAAATTAGAGATGGAAAACAATCCATCAATATAGATAAGCTTTTTATCCCTACTAAGAAAATAATAAAGGGGTCTTGAGCTAGAGGGGAAAATGATTCTCTCCTGGTTGGGGGTCAAGTGAAGCTGACCATTCCTAAAGTGATTGAGGGTGTTGTTGTCCACTTCAAGAGATAAAGGTTCTCCACCTCCTTAGAGTCTGGCATTATAGCCTCAACCTCTCTTATTATCATATTATCAATACCCCTATCCCCCACTTTCAATTATAGAGACCTATTTGGTTGTTAGGACTTATGCCTAGGGTGATATATTAAGAGCAAGACAACTTAGGCTTAAGGATGCTTTTGTTAAACTTATCTGCAATTAAGACCCTTATACTTTCCTCATCCTAAACGAGGAGGAAAAATGAGCCATAGAGGCTATCTTTGGAGGGAGCTTCAACCTTAAGGTTAATGGCCTAGATATGGTAAGAAGCATCAAAAGGCTTTTGACCATTCCTTTAGTCGTCTTAGCGAGAGCTTCAATTATCCTTTGACCTTTGCTAAACAAATGACCCTTCATGTGAGAAAATTTAACTCTTGTTTGATCTTATTATTTCATTTTATTATTATTGTCTTTAATAATCATCATTTATCTTTGTTATAATTTCATAATGTGCACCCATTCTAAAAGACGTTGGATAACTAAGAGGAATTAAGTGAGAGAGGCCATCACTAAGTATCGGGAAGACCAAACAACTTTTCAAAGGTTGAAGACTATGAAGGCTATAATATAGGCTAAGTTGAAGGAGCTAAAGATAGTCCATACGACACTTGCACCTAAGGATGACATATAAGGTGAAGTCCTTCAGCTTAGCTCCTCTAAAAATAAGCTTTGTATAGCTCATACTAAATTAGCCTCCTTTAAGCAGGGAATGATTGAGATGAGGGCATCTCAAGAGGTTCTAAGGGTTGAGCTTTTTAAATCTAGAGAAGAAGTCAGAGCTCTCATACGAGCATAAGGACTCTAATGAACTATCTTGAGAAGTTCCATAAGATGTTTGGGGGGTCCTTTTCATTAAATAAGATGGTTGGGATAAAATTTTACTTGTCATGTCCAAATTGTATCTCTTCAACTTGTATAGAGGAATTCAAGTGGATTCTAGTATTGTTTTCCATTCAGTTTTGTGCCTGACTTCATTGATGTCTTCCCTATGAGGGTCACAATCACCCAATACAGATTCTACCTCATTGAGGAGCCTGACCTCGATGTTTAGCTATTAACCCCCTCACCTATTTTGGCT